ATATTTCTGAAGTTACTCGCGAATTTCATTTTTACGAAGGTCGGCCAACAACTGTGGCCGACAACCTCAATCAGCCTAAAACTTTTGTACAATAGGCTACGCGCCGAGAAACTGGGGGAAAAAAGGAGACAAGAGCACGCGGGGACGTTAAGGCCAGTTCAGACACTTGCGTTCGACTGCGGTGCGTTCGGTTACGGAAGCGCGACTGCGGAACGATGCGGAGTGCGCTTGCGGATGGCTTGTACACACAGTTGTGTCGAAGCGCCGTCCGCCGCAGTCAAGAACCAATAGGAGCTTGCTATCGGCTCTTGCGGCGCACCAATCAAAACCACGACTTGCAGCGAATGAAGTCAAGCAACTATGATCACAACGAACATGGCGGCGTCCGACGGTAGCGTCGGTATGGCCGCGACTTCTCCGTGTTCGTCGGGGTTGTCGAGACTGGAAGAAACAGAAACCTGAGGAATCTCTTCCTAGACTGCGTGCGGGGATACATACATTGCACAGCCGGGCAGTGAGGCGAACTGGCCCCTGGTTGTGCGGGCTACCACCGCGATGATTTTGCTCCACCGGCGACGCCACCCCGGCCGCGAGTGGGTGCGCTCACTCCTGCGCTCCCGTGAAACTTTCGGGGAGTACCACCATCTGGTGCGCGGCATGCGCCTGGACAACGGCCAGGACTTCTTTCAATACTTCCGTATGACGAGGCAGACGTGAGTACGTAGAAGAAACTTCAGAAGCAGACGAAGAAGCAGACGTCCCCAACCGGAAAAACGGGACGAACCGGATGTAGTTGCCAGCGCCGCGCATGCGCTTCGGCGTTCTTTTTTTCGCGAATTGTGATTGGTCCACCGCAACCCACCGCACGCCCCTCCGCACTGGAAAGTTCAGCCTGGCCCAACTCTGCTGCGGTGCGTTGCGGAACGCCAAGCGTCGTCGGTTGCTAGGCGACCCGCTTCTGCATCGACCGCAAGCATGCCGTACCGCACTGGAACGCAGTCAAACGCAACTGTCTGAACTGGCCTTTAGCCTTCCGCAACGAAGAAGTTGCTACTGCGCTTGCGCGCCGATAGCCTTGAGTGTAAAGTTCCGGGTATCGTAGCGGGTTGCGGAGGGCCGTTGCGGGACGGCGAAAACGATCTACGAAAACTCCCTAATTTGTCTCCACTACACTCTGTTGTGAAAGACCTCGGAGTCCTACCGCCACAAGTGCACGGCCTTGAGCGTCGTCGCCGGGTGGTTCCGTTGAGCTTTGCCCGGACGCAAAACGTGGGTACGCCATGATGTCGCAAACTTACCCTCGTGCAGAGGGACGATGGGGCATTCAACGAAGGATTACCTGGCGACTCCAGACGACCCTATTTTTTGGTTCGAAGATGACCGGCGGTGGTGTTTACAAGTTTGGGACGTTAAGGCCAACGGAACAAAGTCGTCCCCCCCCCCCCCCCCCCCCCCCACACACACACACACACACACACACTCCTTTTTCGAACGTTGTTACGTGGTGGGGGAAGACAAGGGCGGGGCCTGTGACCGATTCACTTGTATCGAGCCAGCATAGGCTGGGAGTTGGGGATGACCGTTTTGCGAGAGCGAGAGAAGACGATGTGAAGTCTTTAAAATGAGCAGCGAGCGGCTGCGAGAGTATGCTCTCAGTTCGAACCTGTCGATATGTAAATAGTATTGTATCGAGCCTTGTATCGAGCCAGCATAGGCTGGGAGTTGGGGGATGACCGTTTTGCGAGAGCGAGAGAAGACAATGTGAAGTCTTTAAAATGAGCAGCGAGCGGCTGCGAGAGTATGCTCTCAGTTCGAACCTGTCGATATGTAAATAGTATTGTATCGAGCCTTGTATCGAGCCAGCATAGGCTGGGAGTTGGGGGATGACCGTTTTGCGAGAGCGAGAGAAGACGATGTGAAGTCTTTAAAATGAGCAGCGAGCGGCTGCGAGAGTATGCTCTCAGTTCGAACCTGTCGATATGTAAATAGTATTGTATCGAGCCTTGTATCGAGCCAGCATAGGCTGGGAGTTGGGGGATGACCGTTTTGCGAGAGCGAGAGAAGACGATGTGAAGTCTTTAAAATGAGCAGCGAGCGGCTGCGAGAGTATGCTCTCAGTTCGAACCTGTCGATATGTAAATAGTATTGTATCGAGCCTTGTATCGAGCCAGCATAGGCTGGGAGTTGGGGGATGACCGTTTTGCGAGAGCGAGAGAAGACGATGTGAAGTCTTTAAAATGAGCAGCGAGCGGCTGCGAGAGTATGCTCTCAGTTCGAACCTGTCGATATGTAAATAAGCAGAGTTTTACGAGATACCCTCCTGTTCCCTGGTCCTTCCCGATTCCTGATGAGGTCCTGCCGTGGCTAGGCTCCCTGCCGTACTCAAGCCCCGCACAACCGCTCGGTCCCAACAACTCGTCGAACGCGTCCCAATGCGAGAGTGAAACGCTTGACGCTGGCGTTCGAGTTCTAATGCCTTCCACGAGTGCAGTAGAGACAAAAAAAGCTGCTAGCTTTAGTTCTACCCACTGTAAGTCCATGCGTGTATCTCGCCAGTCACATGAAACTCGGAATTAACTTTCTTAATAAGGCTCAGCTTGACACGGTATCTTCTTACAAGTATTTAGGTGTACGTATAACTTCCAACCTCTAATGGAAAACACATGTTCAGTATATCACTTCTCATGCTAACCATATGTTAGGCTTTTATCAGGTGTGCATAATTTTTCATTAGCACCTGTTTCCCTCAAGCTAATTCTTTATAAAAAATCTAGCTCGACCGAAGTTAGAATATGCAGCCTCTGTCGGGGATCCCGTACAAGCCACTCTCACCACCGCGCTGGAAGGCATTCAAAATAGATCCGCTCTTTTTTTTTTTTTTAATGATTATTATACATCTAGCGTCACTTCTATGAAAACAACCTTGTCACTCCGCCCCTCTTCTTGCGACGTAAGTTTCCACGCCCCTCTTTATTTCACAAAATAAATTTTTATAACTCTGTGCTTCGCGACAAATTAATCACCGGTCCCTTTTATATTTCTGCTCGTCATGATCATCAGCACGAAGTTGAAATACCTATCGCTATCACATCTACATTCCATTCTTCTTTCCTTCCTCGCATAACCTTCGACTGGAACCACCTTCCCATACCAATTGCATCCATAACTGACACTGTACTTCTTAGGTCTGCTTTAGCAGATCATTTGTATTTTGTTGAGTGTGAATAACTATACATTTCACTGTTTTGATTCGAACTTTGCTCTCCCCCTCTGTAATGCCTCCAGGCCCTGAGGGTAAAGCAAACAAATAAATAAATAAGCCAAAGGTCGGCGTTCCAACGTCACCGTGGGCTCTCGTCTCTTCCTCTCTGTCAGTTTCTCGGCTCATAGCCGTCTCTCCTACGGCGCATGACTCAAATCGCAGCACTTACGTTCCTGCCTGCTGTACTTTGGAACCTGACCCTTTCCTTGTCTTACCGATAACTCGCCTGGAATGATCAGAGCCTGCGAACAACGCCTCTGACCCTATTATATACACGTAACGTTCTCCCACTCGTTGCCGTCATCAACCGCGCCATATGCCGAGCGCTCTTTGACGAGGTCCAGCTAGACACTCGTGGCCCTTCTGCGTCTGTGGAACGGAATGAACATGCAGGCCTCGTCCTCTAAGTGGTATTACTAGCTTTTTTGATGACCCAACGATGGGAGAGACGACCGAGACGCTGCCGGTGAATCAATTACCTCGTCGAGGTAGTCGATCCAGTCGACCTGGAGCGTGTGCCGCGGGCCCTGGTAGTACCGCTGCCGGCACGCGTCCTGGTAGCGGCGCACCTGTCGCCACATGTCGCCGACCGGTGGGAGGCTCGCCTTGCCCGCGAACACCCTGGCCGCCCACCGACTCTGGAGCTCGGAGATGGGCAGCAGCGCCCCGACGGGCTGCGCCAGGCCGATCAGGGCCAGCCCCGGCCGGTCGGGAGGGAACACCAGCTTGTACACGTCCACCTGACGAGAGCGGTGTCGAGTGTCACCATTGCAGTGGCTTCGAAACAAAAGGAGCTCACGCCAACCGTCAGCCAGCCCCCAGCCCCCCCCCCCCCCCCCCCCCCCGACAATATTAGCAGATAGTTTTCCTACCTTCGGGAGAAGGAGCGGAGTCCCCCCCCCCCCCTCCCCCCCCTTACTGCCATCGCTACCCCCCCCCCCCCCCCCCAACCCGTTCGAAGCGTGTTTGCTTCACACACATGTGTGCTTCGACCATGTCTGCAGCCAGTTTTTGTATGACAGGACCGCCATTCAGGAAGAAACACGCCTCAAAAACGCCCCGGTGTGTGGAAGGGCATGAGTACTGAGGTTAGAGACACCCTAAAATGAAAATTCTTTTTTTTTTTTTTCGTTCAACGATGTTCACTAAACGAACCACTGGCGACCACAATGTACGCAACATACGCCGTGCTCCAGATTCCCTCTTTGTGGGCCCTGAAACCATTTTCTGACGTTCACTCGATATATGTTCAGAATATCTGTCACAGCATTGTCGTTACCGCTACGCCAGAACAACTGGCCGAAAACATGCAACGACGCGGGCGTTTTGGCCAGCCTTCATTTAAACTAACCGGGGGGAGGAGGAGGAGGAATAAACGTCTTTATTTGCCTGCAGAGCTAGATCAAGCCTAGCCGGTGCGGTGAGAATGGCACGTGGGTCCAGTGCCGGCTTCCTATAGGGAGTATTCACTGGCGGCCATATCCGCATGCGCTGCTGCTGAGCGCGTGCTGACGGCGAGCTTCCGCAGTCCTTTTGGAGCGTGCATTTAGCACCATCAAGGTTCCCGGTCTTAGCAGGCTATTAATGTGAGCTCGTTCTGAGCATGCGCTCTAAACGTCGCCCTCAAATATGGCGTCCAGTGAATACCTCCTATACCCTCGATAACAGTTCGGCGTCTCGTCTGCTTCGTGCATGGAAACGCAGCCAAAGCACGACGGAAGGCAAGCGCGTGCTGGAGGAGGCCGGGCTTCAGAAAGACACGCTCTGCCGTTCTCAATTTGTCAGTTATTGGCGATTTGTATAACATGTTTTTGAACGTATATATATATATATATATGTTCAAAAACTTCGCCTTTTGACCGCCAGGCTCTGTGAATATCTGATTCGCTCGAGCAGGCGGGAGAGCAAACCTGTCACCACAGTTCTCTGTTCTAGTCGGTAGGTGCCGTCGATTTCGCTGGAGTCGCCAATATTCGCTGACGGAATCAGTATGGTATAGGGCGTCTCGAGGAAGTTAGTTGTCCGAGGGTAGGGGAATCGGTGGCCGAGTGGGCTAAAGCGCACACCCAGCTCGACGCGCGTGGAGCGAAAGCTCGCGCTGCAGAACCCATGCAGGGATCCTGGGCTCAATCCCCACCCCTGCCCTTCTCGATCTGGATGAGCATCGTACCGGCGTGCGGTCGTGTATCACTACTGCGTGAGTACGTTAACGACCCCAGGTTAGCAGTCGTATTGTACTGGCGAAATTGCTCATCTACAGTGTAAACCAGTGTCGCCCCATCCTGGCAGACCGACCTTACGCTGTATGAAGCACTGAACGTCCAATTTGACTTTTGATTTGTCCGAGGGACCATGTGCCGAACAGTGCGTGGCCAGACAGCACGCGCCGGACAGCCTGTGTCAAACAATCGATATACACAAGTAAATATTAACTGAATATTATTATCGAACGCGTTCGAAAGCGTTCGCCGAGTGCAGTGGAGGCAAGGGCACCTAGCCTTAGGGTCTACCCACTAATCCTTCCAACCAGAGCTCGGCGATCTGATGTCCCCGCGCGCTCTCGCCTCTTCCTCTCCCTCAGTTTCTCGGCGCAGGCACCCTAAGAATAGGTGCTGACGGCACGTGGTAAACAAACTCTCTTAGTTTGTTTTAATGCGAATGTTTGCTTTGAGCTGAGCACTTGTGTAGTTTTCACCGATATATGGAATTCTCTTATGACTGCGGATTGCCTCGAGCAATTAACAACACTCAATTAAAACGAGCGTTTGACACGACTGTCGACAGCAGATGGCACAAACAACATATATCATCACATAAAATGATGGAAAAAAAAGGTCAAAACTACATCGGATCGAATATGATCAAGAATAATAACTATAGTCACTGACGGTTTCAATAACGCAAGACCAGTCTGTCTATGCTGGAAAAAGCGGTGGAGAAATTGCATCGTGACGTCGCCGGTGGGAGGAGCTTAATCTCCATCGCCAACCAACTACATCGGAATAGAACTGCACCGTGACGTGTCCGGTGACGTCGCCGAACAGTGGCGATTGAGTTGAAACTACATCGTTATTTTTTCCCTACAGGGAATTTCGGAGAATCGCCGAGTAGGCTAGCGCACACCAGCTCGGAGCACGTGGAGCGAAAGCTCGCGCTGCAGAACCCCGGGATCGTGGGTTCAGTCCCCGCTCCTGTCCGTTTCGATCTGCTGGATGAGCATCGTACCGGCGTACGGTCGTGTACTGCGCGATGCACGTTAAAGAACCCGGGCTAGCAGTCGTACTGCACTGGCTAAATTGCTTATCTACAGTGGGTAACGATGTCGCCATGTTCAGGCAGACTAACCTCCTGCTGTATAAACAACTAACGACCAATTTTACTTTTTGACTATGTTTGACTGCGTTAGTGCAACTTCTCTCGTGCTGCACGAGAAAGAAGAAATGTTCCTTCGGGGGTTAAATTTGCGGTGAAGTAGGAAGAAAAAAAAAAAAGAAAAGAGAATATTTCCCTCAAGTTGGGTTTGTAGCAGAAGAGGAGGAAAAAGAAAATCAGTTGTTAGTTCCACGGTGTGTATGGTCTTTTCTTTATGTGTATATTTATTCTAGTTCAGCTGGTCTGACCTGAAGTAGTTGCTTTAAAAGAAAGCATGTATCTCTCTCTCTCTCTACCTGAAGTATGAACGAACTAGCTCAACTTAAGCCTGCTACCGTCGCTTGCTTGGCTTTTCGCTCAGCCAAATCGCTTATATGGGGTGCACTCAAATGAAAACACAATCGTATTAAATCCTGTAAAAGTATTTAGAATATTTATCGATAACGCCGCTGAACTTTCATCGCTCGAAGAACTTCCTTTTTGTGAGCGCCTTCTGTGCTTGAGTTTGTTGGAAACACAGCCACTTCGATCCGAGGCAATTGATGATAGCGTTGGTGACATCATCAAGTACGCGACTCACAGAGCACTGGAGAACACCAATGTTTTCGTCGCTCCCGACGGTTCCCTGGAAGCCGCCAGCGGCGTAAAAGCGTAGAGCTGCGAGGACTTGTTGTTCGACCGTCAGCACACGGTGCCCTTCAAGACAACGCTGGAGCTTTCCGCGAAGCTGTTCACACAGCCAGCGAGTCACCCCTTTGGTCAGCCGGTTATTCGTTTACAAACCTCACATCGCTCGTCTCGAAAGCATCCCGGTAATCTCTAAAAACTCAATCCGCTGGCGAACCCCAACAGTAGAGACGCATATGTTAGGGTCGCCATTTTTTACGATGCAGATTGATCTTCGGCTTCGCATCGACCACTCAGTTAACTGCATCGTCAAAGTGCATCGTGACGACATTTTGACGTCACCGCCAACTGCATCCTTTTACGAGCTTAGCTCGAACTGCATAGGGAAAAACTACATTTCAACGTCATGTCACGTGACCCGAGAGAAGAGCCAATCAGCGCCCGATGCAGTTATCTACATCATTCAGTTTGCGTTCCAGCATAGATAGACAGATGTGTCCCGGGCATTTTATTATCGCTACGCAGGCGAATGGGATTGCATCATTAACCGATAGGAATGTCGAAGAACGCGCGATGTTTCTTGCATCGTGAACTGTCACTTGCTCAACTTCATTCACGTGGCTCGCATCTTTGCCCGAGCTACTCTCAAAACCAGCGCGCGTAGATCGATAATGAATTCGTCAGAAGGAGGGAAAGCCCTCTATAGCTGTCTCCTTGTTCAACGCGAGGATTCGATCACCGGCAACGCCAGGCCTTATTTTCAGGGTCCCCCAGCCGCCGTGAAGTTCGCGGCCTTAACTTTCTTGGCGGACAGCTAAGTTATTGGTACAGTGTTCCACTTTTCGATAAGGTCAAAGAGAGCCTGGCTGACTGAATTAATAGGAAGCAATTACTTCCTTGATGGCGCGATCAGGCCGATCTTGGAAGTTAAGGAGTTTTCGCAGCAGCTGACAGAATGATTCTTTAGGCGGAGGTCAGCAAGACACAATAACTCATCTGAGGGCCGAGCGTTTAAGTGTAAAAATTACTACGGTAAGCTTTTAATTACAGGTTTGCCTCCGAGTAACAAATCACTCTATAGAAACACGTTCGCCGGTCTTCGTTTTCGAAGAGCACAGTAAGAGCCAATCATTGCGATCGACAGACTGAGAAGCGAAGTGTAACGTCTCGACCATGCAGAAATATCATTTGCTTTCAGGAACGGTACGACGCTTCGATCGTTTCGTGTCTCAGCGCAAACTGCATTTCTGCTGGGTCGAAAATATTCCCGGGTCGCCCTGTTTGTCATGCCTTCCTTTCGTCGATTGCACTCTGTCTGGCTCCCTGCGGACTATCGCTCAGACAGAGAGCATCCAACTTGAGGCCGAGCACGACGGAGGAAAAAAACACATGGCGATGTTCTACTGGGGCTCGCAAAAAGACTCCTGGAAGTTTAAGAGTGCACGGCAGCCGAGACAACTCGCTGGGGGACCGCGCGCGTACACATGATATATCTCTAAAGCCGCGGTCACAATGCTAACACGCAACACAAGAGACCGCCTGTAGTCACTGTCTGAGGGGCCCCTTCAATGAGGGTCTTGTCGAACTGGTCTTACAAAACCTGTCCGCACACATATGTATGAAACAAACATGCTTCGAACTTTGCTTGAGGCAAGATCATTCTGTCACCATGTCGTTAGCGAACGCCGTGTTTTTTGAGCGACGTACGAGCAGTGCGAATTCGGCTTTAGAAAACGTCAGTTGACACTGCAGGTGACTCCCAGAAGATTCCATATTTCGAGGTCTTCTTACCGGCTTCGACTAAATTTGTGTTTCGATAGGGGACATTGTAGTACCGAGTACACTCTCAAAAGTAATTGTGTCATTTGTTTGTTAAAACAGCGGAACGTTTGTCAGCCCCAGTGCGTCTGGTGTCTCCTATAGCTGTAGTTGAGCCATCTAGCCGGTGCAGTACGACTGCTAGCCTGGTGTCCTTAACTTGCACCGAGCAGTATCTTGATACACACGACCGCGCGCTGGTATACAAGGCTCATCAAGATCGGAATAGGAAGGGGTAGGGATGGAACCCGTAGGATCCATGCGTAGGTTCTGCAGCGCGAGCTTTTGCTTTACGTGTTCCTCTTCGTTAACACACACGGCCGCCGATCCTCCCTCTCTGTTACTGCGGGGCTTAAAGAAGATTATGTTTCAAGTTCTTACCAGCTTCGACTGTGTTCGTGTTTCGATAGGAAACATTAGAATTTCGACTACATACTTAAAAAGTAATTGTGCCGCGCGTTTGTTTAGACCGCGGGAAGTTAGTCCGTCCCGGTGGGGCGTCTGCAGTGTCTCCGCTATATAGACGAGAAATTGAACTAGCGCAGTAACGCATCTTTCACGCGCATCACGAAGTAGTAATCCTCGACCGCACGCGGCTCGTCCAGATAAATGAATCGGAATCGACAAATCACCGTACAACTCCGCACCTGGTTATCCTCGCCCACGTCCAGCACTCCGGGAGCCAGGAGGGGAAAGAGGACTCGGTAGCCCGTGGCCAGGATGACGTCGTCGAGCGGCACGGGCTCGGACTCTCCTTCGAAGAGAGCCCCGTCGGCCGTGAACCGCTTCACGGGCCCCTTGACCCTGACGGTGCCGCTGAGGATGCGGTTGGGCAGGGCGTCGTTGACCATCGGGTGCTGGCCGAAGATGCGGTGCTTGGGCCGCAGCTGGTACGCGCCGTGGTCGAAGCGCTGTTCGACGGCGCGCTCGCACGCCAGGCAGACGAGCCAGTAAGGCAGCCAGTGGAAGAGCACGTTGAGCAGCCGCGTCTGGTAGCAGGCGTCGAAGGGCTGGCCGCGGGGTCCCACGCGCCCGATGACCCACGACCCGCGTCGAGTGCTCAGCCACACCTGCGGGTGAAGGGCGCACATGTCTCTCGGTGGAAAACAAGCACTCGAGGGTGGATGAACGTGATTGGCACCAGCAGAGCCGCGGTCAAATGGCTCATTCATCGTACAAAAGACGCGGGCAACGTAAGGGATGTAAAGACGTTCCTTACGTCACTCAGAAAAGTCCACTGCGCATTCTCTTCGACCTTACACTGTTTCAGAGGATTTGAGATCTTGGAAAGGGCCCTAAAATAACTTCAAACTCGAAAGTGAAGCGTCGTCTGCTCGAAGCAACAGGCGGGGGTCCGCACGGAGCGGTCGATCGCGGGACGCGGGCGAACAGGACACGGAGGCATGAGAGGAACTCGAGTTACAGGACAACAATCTTTGACTTCACTGCGCTGGCGCGGATCGCGCGGGAACTTAAAGTTCTGCTTTTAGAGATTGTCTTTTTTTTTTTTTTACTGCGCAAATACTAAGTTTTTAAGTTTCGAATTTTGAGAGTAATGTCCATGCATCGTTTTCAATCGTTTCAAATAATAATAATAAAAAAAAAAAAGATTTTGACCTGTCAGTGCCCTCTTAGGCTGATACTGGAGCCAAGGACACAAGCACGAGAGCTCGAGGTCGCGTTTTGAGCGTTCTTCTGCAGAACGAGCACTCGCGCTACAAATGCACGTCTAATTTTCAAGCCCGGACCGCGTGTTAGCTCGCGCTTGTAGCTTTGGCTTCAGTCTCAGCTCAAAGGAGCTGTGCAACGATATTCACTTGGAATGTTTTTCACTATACACGAGCTTACTGGCACTAGTGGGAGTCAAGGATACTCGCACGCAACTCCGCTGGCCAAGACACTCCTTTGTTGCGGTGTAATTTCAAGGACAAAAGCGATCATTTTCATTCAATCTCTCCTTTGCGAAATTTCATGACGTAACGTGGGGATCCCAGTACACCCATATGACGATATTTGAATGCTGTTCATAGATTGGACCCGAGCGTTGCGTGGGCACTCGATTTGGGTTCGTGATAATTACTAACTCGAGAAGCATTCGGGTAGTGGCCCGTGTCCAATCGCTGCAACGACGACAATAGTCCAGCCATAACAATATCTGGAACTCAGCGCGTGCCCTGTGCTTTGCCAATCCCAGCGCGTGGCTATGATCTACATTGGCGGCATATAATCGGCTCCAGATCACGTGGCCGCTTGTCCTGGCTGCAAGTTGAGGGCGTGAACGCTGCTCGTTTTTCTTTAATTTTTTTTTTTCTGGAACTTCTATTGCGTGGGGTGAAAAACGAACGCGTGTTTCATAGGTCATTAATGTCAGGGATCCGTTCTAAGCAGTATTTGAGCAAACTACAAAATAGACCTTTCGAAAAAGGTTACTCCTGGCCGGTTCCATTTTTAGTGTTCGTGCGCGTGGCTCGTGATTTCCTCGCTTTCCGAAGCACTGAACATGCGTGTGCTTGGCTGAGGAAATCGCACGCTGGGCTGAGGACTCGTAAATATTGGAAAGGTGTATAATAAACCATTCTAGTATTTACAAGTACCTAACCCAGTGCGGGACCACGAGCTCGCACTTGCGCACTCGTGACGCACGTTCTAATGACACGCGCTCTGGTGTCGTGGCGATCTCCTGTCGCGCGCTGTCCTGTCGGCGCTCTAGTGTCATTCGCTCTCGTGTTATACAGTCCGACGAGGGACAGCGGACTCGCAGAAGATAAGGCGTCTATCCCGGTCGCATTGTCCACGACACGGGTCAGGCGAAGCGACAACGTCTCGACCTCGAAGTTGTCTTTCCGGCCCGCGAAGAAATGCACGCCTGGAGCACCAGGCGAGTCGCCATAATAACCCGGGACTGCCACTCGACCGAAACTAGGCCAATGCCAGGCGGAAAATGGAGCGGAGAGGGGAAAACAAAGAGGGGAAGCAATTACGGTTCACCGGGTGACTGAACTACGCGGAAAGAAACAGCTGCGCCACTATGTTTTTACATTCGTGCCCCGCTAAATAGAAACAATAAAAAAATTCGTTTTTTTTTCATGTTATTTACTAAAGTTACTGGTAGCTCAATTAAAAAACGCAGATTGTGGCGAGTTTCGAACAACTTTTATAGCTCTTCAGGCGATAAAATCGCGGCATGACATGGTGAAGAACGATTCACGAGGCAACAAGTTAAGTCTGGTGAGGTCATTTGCCTCCGCAAAATTATTTGTGAGAGCCCATCGCAATAACTGGCTCTCCCAATTTGTTTTTTTTTTTTTTTTTTTTTTTTTTTTGCGGGGGGAGGGGGGGGGAATGTACCTTTAGAATGTCAATTTATAAAGGCAGCTCGGCGAAAACGACGAGGCTGACAATATGCTTAAACATAAAAAAAAAAGTCTCCGCTTTGATTTTGAGCATATGGAGAAATATTAAGCTCACTGTCACAACGCGGACCGTTTCTTTTTTTTTTTTTTTTCTTTTTTTTTTAGGTTTAAGCATATTTTCAAATTTTCCTATTCGCCGATGTCCAATCTTAGATTTATGCAATTGGATCTGTTTTATAAAAAAAGTAAGCGTTTTAAAATATATATATTTTATATAGTGCATATCATTTAGGATTTAGGAAAGAGGATACGAAATAGTCCGCTATATTTTTTAAATTTTCGTACCGAAAAGCAGGTTTTAGGTCTTCTACACTCGTGTACTAGTTTCAGTTTGGCGCACTAAACGATATGCGATTAGGAAAATCCCAATTTATCCCAGACCACACTTCATTTCATGGTTCCTTTATTGCATGAGGTGTAAAGGTTCATCGAAGTACCGGCCTGGGAGTAATTAATTACAGTACGCAGCTACCTGCCCCGTATAGATTGTGGGAGACGAGGGTGGAAGACGACGGGGCAAGCTGTCGGCCGAGGAAACACTAGCTATACTCCGTTTCACCTTATGTTGTATTCGAGCCCCACCCCTGCCCGTCTCGATCTGGATGAGCATCGTACCGGCGTGCGATCGTGTATCACTACTGCGTGGTGCACGTTAAAGACCCCAGGCTAGCGGTTGTACCGCACTGGCTAAATTGCTTATCTACAGCGTGTGACTCGTCGCAACTTTAATGGCTGACCAACTACACGCTGTATAAATATACCCACAATCCAATTGTACCGCAGCGAAGGCTAGAAGCGCGAGCTCATAGCGTTGGCAGCTGCCCTTAATGCACGAGAGCTTGTGCCACCGAGATCTGCCCCAGAGCAAGGAGCTCGCGCTTGTAGCCTTTTCTGCGGTACATCATACGGTGAAACAGAGTATAGTGCCGGACAGAGCGTGCTGCGTGAGTCTGGGGCAGGGCAGGAACGATGGAGCCGGTCATGGCGATCCCCGGAGCGGTCCACCAGCGAGGTTCAGACCAGCACCGGCGTTAAAAGCGAGCCCTGGCCATACCGGCCTAGGCCACGACGATACGGAGTGGTTCCACAGCGAGACTCGAGTTATAAGAGCCCGGAACAGCTAGCCTACGCAGCGCTGGCGTGGGAAGGACGACCCGTAGGACAAGGGCCTATGTTGCGTTTTTCGGACTCCCACGGCGACAAGGGAGAAGGAAGTGACGTAGGTGTGAATGAACGCATCTTAGCAACACTACGCATCTTTCGGCTTATACCGATTTCCGCTTACTTTTTCTTTGTTTTCTTCCGCAGAAATTCGTTTTCAGCGACTCCACCAATCAACTTCCAAAAAGCGTTGTTGACGTCACTTCACTCTCCCTATAGTCGCCGTGGGAGTCCAAAAAGCGGAACAAAAGGCCCCTGGACAAGAACTCCGACTCCGAGCTCTGAACAAAGGGGGGCTACCAGGGTTGGCGAGCCCGAACTGCCGGCTCTCGAGGACGGGCAACCGGAAAGTACAGTAAACCCATTCGCTGTTTTCTCGTTGTGTTGTGTCACTCCTTGGGAGACCAGCGAAACACAGACCGATCGGGGGGCGATTATTATAGGGCTACCCCGCAAGATTAATCAAGTATCAAGTACATTATAAGTAAACGACAGATAATTTAGCGAAATGTAACAACAGTTGTTATGAATAAACGATGCAATTTGGAAGAAAGTAACTGTAGTTAAAGTTGCCACCCCGGAGAAATGAATTGCACGACTCAATTGTGTGTCCCATAAAATAATCACTTATAGCGCACGTCACGTAAAATAGGCGATTTATGTTTAGTTCGTACTAATTAAAGCAACAAAGGTTTAAAAAAAATGTAAAAAAAAAAACTAGGAAAAAAGAAGATGGGTCGTTTGGAGAAGCGACTGTGGACACAAAATGGTGTTTGTCGAAAAAAATCGTTCTTTTTTAACTGTTTTCAACGCTTATGCAGCTACCAAAAAGCCGTCACGTGCATCTTTCCCCTTCTTTAGAATCAGTGTTGTCTCAGGCGATCATTCTGTAGTCAGTCACAGACAACATCAGAAACGTAAGGCATGGCATAACCCCGAACATCTCATTATCGTATCGCAGCCAGTGAGAGGGCGGCAATGGCCTAGAAGAACACCTTGGGACGAATCAGCAAGAACCGCGAACAATAAGCACCGCCATCCTCTTCCCCTTCATTTGTCCTCCCTTGCTCGTGAGAGTTGTACACTCTAAAAAACGTCTGTGCGTCTACTTTCACGCACAACACTCGGAGAAACAATCAGCGCAACAGAGGCACCTCAGCAAAAGACGATGCCGAAACATATGTTTAGACCAAAAAACGCAGTCTGAGTTGTGACATTAAGCAATGCAAAACGTCACGCTTGCATTGCTTAATGTCACAACTCAGTCTGTGTTTTTGGTCTAAACATATGTTTCAGCATCGCCATTCGCTGAGCTGCCTCCGTAATTTGCGCTGATTGGTTCTCCGAGTGTTGTGCGTGAAAGTAGACGCACAGACTTTTTTTAGAGTGTATACGGGGAATTGCAACAAGTATCAGTTTGAATCAGCGGCTTAGACTTTCCATTTTCGCGGGGGGGGGGGGGGGGGGGGGGGGGCGGTTGCTGCGCGTTATCTTTTCGCCAGAACTGGAGATTGAAGCTAACGAAAGCACGCTGGGATTCCATTTCCCATGTATTTTGTCAATAAAGGCAACGTGGGCGTTATTTTGTTTACATGCCGCTACTAGAAGCTCGTTACATGGCACGTAAACTGCGTTTCGGTAACGATCTTGTCCCGGGTCCGGGGGGGGGGGGGGGGGGGGCTCTGCACCCCCCCGGATTTCACCTGGGGGGGGGGGGGGGGTCACGATGACCCCCGTAGTCTACGCCTATGGTTTGAATAACTTGCACTTAGCCACCCTAATCACGAAAAACCAGACACACACTAAAAAAAAAAAAAAAAAGAAACGTTGAAGCACAACCGCTTGGGGCTTTTGAATGTTCGTTATCTTGCTGCGGTGCTCTTAAATCAAAAAGCACTTTTCTACAGCCTAGTCGTTCGGTGCGGTCGGGATCGGGTCAGGATATAGGTTGTGCCGATCCGCGTCCTGGGATACAAACATGTCACCAACGTACATGTACGGTATCGTGCTATCCTCGTCACGCCTCGTAAGACTTCTGGCACTTCAGATTCAGACTGTGAAGTTCGCCTTTCATACGCCGACGCGTTGCGTGTGCAATTGCGGCGCATGTCGCTGCGTTTAGTCACGAAGTTATATCACGAATTCACCGGAAAATGATTTCTTAAGCATATCTGTATTTTTTTTCTTTTTTTTTTTTTTTGCGTGTGTGAGTGGGAGGGTGGGGGATTTTAATAAACACAAATAAAACCAGTAAAAAACGTTCTTTGAGCACAAAATGAAATATGATCGACGTCTTTCTGCTGCAACTGGCAACGTACGAAACGTAGGGCGGGGCCTGCCATGCTCACGCTTCCTGTGGTTCGTCTTTCGGCGATCTTATCGGATTGTAATATTGCAATTTCATCGCCACGACCCGCATTTTTTGAAGTGTCAGTGGCTAGATTCATTCACGAACAGCACCACAGAACGTGATGCTCCGACTCCTACGTCATAAGTTGATAACGCGAACGTTTTGTGAGTATTTTCATCGAATGGAAGTCTCGACACCGGCCGTTTTCGACGCGGTCGTCTACGTGTAAACACGCGAAGCCCAGACGAGGGGGGAGCGCGACCCAGTTTCAGAGTGTACACCGACGATCGCCTCGATCGTGCACGGCCGCGGACCGGTTTGAAGGAAGACGCCGCGGCCGCGCGGCCGTGACCGCCAGCCGCCAAGGGCATCGTACGGAGCTCACCTGTCTGGCGACGCCGGCCAGCTCGACGGCCAGGTCTCCGGCCGAGTTGCCCACGCCGACCACGAGCACCCGGCGATCCTCGAAGCCCCGTGGAGTCCGGTACTCCTGCGAGTGGAGCACGCGCCCGCGGAACTCGTCGTCGAGCCCCGCGAACCGCGGCCGCAGCGGATGGGCGTGGTGCCCCGTGCACAGCATGACGGCGTCCACCAGTTCGCTCGTCTCGAGCCCGCTGGCGAGGTCCCTGACGCGAAGGGCCCACTTGCCTCCGGCGCCTTGCCTGACGTCGGTCACCTCGTGGAGGAGCAACACTCGCTCCGCCGCTCCGCTGCTCCGGCCGTACTGCTCGATGTAGCCGGCCATCAGCGAGTTGTGCATGTAGTTGGGGAGTGACGGGTCCGGCGGGAAGTCGCTGAATGCGGACATCTCCTTGCTCGAGTTGATGACCGTCGAGCGCATCACGCACGCCCTGCCGGTCTCCACCTTGTCCGTGTAGTGCCAGAGGCCGCCCAGGACGTCGCTTCGCTCGTAGCACACCACATCTAGATCTTCTTCGAGGCATGCTTTGACGGCGGTCAGACCGCTGGCTCCGGCGCCGATGACGGCGACGCGAGCCGCCGGCGCCCGCGCGACCTCACCCGTGTTCGAGGTGGTGCGCGGCATGGCGGTTGGCGGTCGGAGCAGCGCTGCCTCTTTTATGGCCTCGGTCACGTGCACGCGTGCGCCCCCCTCTCTTCCCCCCCGCTCTGGGATCTGACGACCCGTTTTTTCGGGGGCTGGCCCGGATGGCGGAAACGTGCGCTCAGACACGTGGTCATGCACCTCGCAATGTACACATTGGGGGACACGAACTCGGGAAGGTCGACGAAAAACACAAACCAAAACGCGTAACCGAAAAAAAAAAAAAAAAAATATATATATATATATATAGAATAGTTTGAGTGAAAATTTAATTAAAATCGTGAGGTATTCATATAATTGCGTGGTAGCTTGGGGAAAAAAAAAAAAACTGAAATGGAAACATGTTACACGAGTGAATGTATTGCAGAAGTGTGTTTCTGTTCGGTAAATTTTGTCATGTGGCCTTTCGAAAATAGCGAGCCACGAATCGGACGTTGCGATTTCCTTCCAATATTTCGATTCGTATCACTTCGTATCTTCAGCGTTATTCACACACCTATAGCACGCAGAAGTAGCAAGCGCTTCTAAACGATGTTATTCTCGCGCAACCAGTGGGATTGCATAAAAAAAAGTATAGAGCCGAGGAAATTTTAGCATCCTCCGATAAGAAATATGGAGCACCACTAAACAAATGACAATTAATCGTGACTTTTGATTCCTAAGTTCTGAACCTTAACTTCGTTGCTCCCTACAGTGGTGTGGTTGGGGAAAGGGGTGTGGGATCGTTCGAAAGAAGATATCTTGAAAGCGGAGCAGTGCTGATTTTCCTCACAAGAAATCGGGGAAAACAAAAACACACAATATGGTGCTCAGGAAAGAAACTCTGCTGTGGTCATCAAACCCAGAACGATGTTAAGCTGAAGGAAGAGAAAAAATGCCTTCCCTCACGCGTTTGGTATCTGACTTGATCGGAGCAACATACCAGCTGCTTCCTGACTTGTATGTTTAGTGTGTAACCTTTTTCTAGACAAAAGCAAGTTATACCTTTTTGGTCGATTCGGTGAATATTGCTCGTAGTGGGGGGGGGGGGGGGGGGGGGGGGAGGTGAGAGAGAGAAGAACATATTGACAAAAGTGAGACTTCATCGTTGTAACGACGCAATGAAGTTATATAATTGCGTTGTTCTATAGGTCTCGCTTTCGTAGTTATGCTTTTTTTTTTTTTTTTTTTTTTTACAATTTAGTACGCTAAATGTTCACCGAATTCTTTTAGGTCTATGGCTAACCTTTCTCCCTGCTAGTCAAAACTTTCTTTATTTTTTTTGTATTTTTTTAACCGAATACTTTGGAGTAAACATTCCCTTTTTCAGTAGGACGTCACGCCCAGAAAGTTGTTAATGTATGTACAAGTGGAATCTACTTTTACTGGAAAAACATATCGCGCTTACTTCAAAACGGAGGTCGTCGGGTGTCGTGACTACTATAAATATTTCTAGAAACTAACACCGGGGGTCTGAAAAGGTAGCGGAACAGCGGTGCTTACGAAGCGAGTCTGACGCACGTTGAAGAAAGAAGACGTGTACCTAGAAGGTACTATATGGTTATTACGGTTTTCACAGCGGAAGCATCAGAAACACGAATGCAAAAGAAGGCAACTCGCGATTTCGTATGCAGCCCGGCCTGGGTTCACGCCTTCGCCTTTTCTGTTTACGCGCACACGATGAAACCGAGGACGAATAAAATAGAATGCGAAAAGTGAGAAACCTGCGTAAAGCAAGAAACGCGCGTGTTTTATTTCTTTTGCTTTTTTCGCAACGAAGTTTGCAAAATCGTAAACACATCGGTCCATAAAAAAAAAAAAGAAAAAAAAAGAATGGAGTCATGTCAAGTACAGCTTGTCAGTAACTTGGTGTCACAAAAAATAGCACAAAAACGTTTCCGTTTTGTGAGTACGTCATACTTATCCATATTGGTCCAGTCCCCGAAATGATGAATTTGTTTTGTTTGTGGATAAAAGTTGATGACATATTCATATATAAACTGCCAAATAAAAATTTCAGCGACCGTGATTTTTTATTTTGTTTTTTCGTGTGACAAAAAGTTAATAAAATTCAAATCTATATTAAATGTAAATTTCTATTCACATTCTAAATCATATCAAATCAATTCAAATCAAACAAGATTAATTCACCACATTGTACGTACACTCTACAAGGAAGCCAAAAAAAAAAGAAAAAAGAAAGTTGCAATGTTGCAGTTGTTGTCGGGTTCGTGCCCACTGAAACAACACAGGGCAGAGCAGCACCTACACAAACACAAGCGGAAAACACAATGAAATTGGCTTAGTTGATCAGAAATAGGAAATAACGTGCACTTTCTGACAGTAAATGAAGTGAACACTCTTACGAGGAGGTAATATCTAAAGCTGACATGTGAAAGTAATATCTAAAGCTTGCAAGTGAAACAGATATATAAATATATATAAACTGATATATATATATCAGAGTACACGTTTGGCACGTGTACTCTGATAAAGAAAAAAGTAGTTGTCAAGATGGCCCCCCAACACACACACACACACACACACACACGCACACGCAGACACTCTCCTTTGCGTTCTTTTTGTTTTTGACAATTTCCGTCTTGAATATAATCTTTCCTTAAAAAAATGAAAACCGTTTACTACTCCCTGTAACACCGAATTAGAGCGCAGCTCTTGAGGAGGAGGAGGTGGAAGGGGTACTGAGGGGACAGTATACCCCTCCTCCCTCCTCCTCACCTCCTCATCCTGCCTGCTACTCCTCCCTCCGAGCGGCGTCGCCGTCGCCGTCGGCGTAACCGTCAGGTCACGAGACCTCAGGGGGTCACGTGACCTCACGGGGTTCAGGTGACCTCATAGTTACGCCGACGCCGCTAAAGCCGGAAACAAGCGCCTAAAAGCTGGGCTCTAAAAAAAAATTTAACTGCTTAAAAAAAAAATAACACCTTATTTTGGCATTGTTTGTGAGATTGTGATGCCCAGAAGAGGTGTATTTACTTCTATTAGTGAATATTAGTGTAATTTCAATTTCATAATGACGAGTCGATACTGTGAAATTCAATCAATTGATTTCAATCTCCAGTGTTTACTGAGTTAAAGTTGTCGTAAAAGGAGAAAAATTTCATTCTAACTTTCTCCTGCTTTCAATTTTTAATTTTTTTTTATTGTAGCTGTTTTCTCAACTTTTGTTTTCTTGAACGGGGGTTGCTGAATGCGCAAGAAATTAGCACCTGTTAGACTACATTTGTACATATATATATATATATACAACACAGGCACTTCACACCATCGTACGTGGTCTTCGAGGAGGATATGAACGAATATGTGCAGATGAATGAACCGTACTTAATCCAATGAATCAAAGAATTAAAGTTTCCAGGAACCCGCCGAAAGCCAAAAATTGGCTTTCGGCCTGGCTCCTGGCTCCTGGCTCCGCCAATTTTCGGCTTTCGGCGGGTTCCTGGAAACTTTAATTCTTTGATTCATTGGATTAAGTACGGTTCATTCATCTGCACATATTCGTTCATATATATATATATATATATATATTTAAATAGATAAGTGTCCGTCTAAATCTTTACGCACGACTAAAGTTTGTTAACTGCGCGCTGTTTATTAAGCCACGAATCATTCCACCTTTACAACATCGCAGCCTTTCCTTAGTACAATTGTCCGCGTCTGAGTTGGCATAAACGAAATAAAAACATGAAATTTTAATCCCCTTCTTCGTCCTTGTTTATTCGGCGCTTTCCATTCAGTCATTAGAGATTCCTCGAAATATTAACACAGCTTGCGACCTTTATGCCATCTCACTTCAAGCAATGATATCCGACCCCCCGACCCTTTTCTTATTTTTTTGTTGTCAGTCTTGTAAGTTCAGACTCAAAATAAAATGTGCGCTTATATTTCGCGTCAAGAGATCGGCATTAATTGTCTAGCAATTTCTTTTTTTAAGCGAGGAGCCGGGGGGGGGGGGGGGGGGGGGTTACCCGCGTTTGCGTACGACAGATGTGCCAAATCGGTTTTTCCGTACGCCAAAATAGACCTTTCCGGAAAATTCCAGGAGGCCACTCGGCCAGTGAAATTGTGGGGTTGCTCTGATATGAAAGTAGTTACTCGTGCCGACTCGAACGCTTCGTATATTTTGGAAGTGACAGGATTCATTCTCTCTTATCATCCAGAGCTAAGAAACACGCAACAAAAAATGCTAACACAGAAGGAGGCCATCACACACTTTCTTTTTGCTTTCCTTCCGCGTTCTCTGCGTCCTGCAATCCAAAGATGTTCAACCTACGTCAACATCGTCTTCGATTTCTGGATTATTAGTAGGGTCTTTTAGCAAACCGTTGCCGTGTTCGGCGTGTACCGCACTACCAGAGCCTTTGAAGCATGCTTTTAAGCGCGGGCCCCGCGGTCACGGTGCCACCCGGGCGCGGTCTTAAAAGCATGCTTCAAAGGCTCCGGTAGTGCGGTACGCGGTGCACGGCAACGGTTTGCTAAAGATCCCTAACATCAGGTGCCGTACATCGGAACGTCGCAATGCGTCAAGCGGACGGTGGGGCGCCACCCCGAAGCCGGTTTCTCCACTACGCACGCTGTGATGAGGCAAAGCTGACAAACCATTGACGGACAGGCCCGAGCTTGGCCAAAATATATTCTTTCAGCACGAGCGAACCACGAGAAGACATGTTCGACTACCTCCCATTCATACAATTCTTACCTTCCGTAATCTTTTGAGATAAAAATATTGACGATGTTTATTGCTCCGGAAGTACACTTGGGCGAAAAATAATTAACTCTAGTGCAATGAAAGACGCTCTCGTGTTTGGGTCGCACCTCAAGCTCATCAGAAAGCAAAACAACATTGGAGTTAAATTATTATTGGCGAATCTCACATTAAAGGTAAAAAAAAGCCTTAATTAAAAAAAAGTAGAGCGAAGGAATGACGTAGCAGAAAGTGTGCAAATTGTTGGTAGCTCTGTGGACTCAAAAAAGTTGATGCT